ACGTATAATGTTCTTGGAAAACGTATAATCACGTCGATTCAAATGACGAAAACACATGGAAATAATATTCAGAATTTGTTTAAAATGTGCAAAAGTTTAGATACAGAGGAATATTTGGTCAAATAATATTATACAAGTACTAACTGGTTAAAAAGATATTAAATATAATTCAATAAAGTTAGCCATGTATCTGTCACAAGGTGAAATTCTCTGCCAAAAGTGAATCATTTCGATTAACAAAATTCGGAATATTTCAGTAAAAACGCAATAAATATTAAAAAATACATCTCTGCACTGTAACTAAGATTAAATTGTAATATTCCATACAATTTCTTACTCAAAATACACTAAAAGTGGATATATTCGTCAGTATTGATTTTCAGCTACTTTTTGCTAGCATTGTACATACAAAACATCCTTAAATTAGCTTCAGATATAGTCTCAAAGTTATTCTGTAACTCGAACAAACGCTTTTCAAGTTTGATTGTTCTCTAGATCTCGAGTTTCGATACGGAAATGTCGCGACACGTCATGTATCGCCTGTTGAATTTTCATCAAATAACGGGGAAAGTGTGACTTGAAACCGTTCAAAGAATTTGACGGGAGGAATTTTCGATGGCGATATTCGGGCGGTGTGGACAGACATCCCCCGTGTAACCGTGCACCCCGACGATTCTTCGATCCAAGCACCGGTGGACGCTATTGTCGTGCCATCGTAGATCGATCCTGTCGCTGTCGCTCAGGAAAGTAGACATCGGCAGGAAAAAGTGGCTTACGCGGCGCCAAGTCACGGTGATTTGCAAAAGAGAATTCGTTCATATTCACCTCTCTTGAGCCAGCTTTAGATCACGCCTGTCACTTACTCAGCGAATTTAAGTGTACTACATTTTTAACAAATTTTATTATCTTATCCTATATATTCTCATATATATTACCCAAAATATCAGAAATAATAACGAGATGACGCGAGATATGAAATATTATAAATAATAGAAGCTGTGTCCATTAAAAAAATGGCTTCCAAATTCGCTAATGGATCTTTGAAGAAACGCGGAGAACGAAAAGACGCCACGAGCGTAAAAGTCTATTAACGTAAAATACAAGGATGGCTATTTTCAGACGGCAATATTCTATAAACCGAGCAAAAATGGAGTATCTATATCGAATATCCTGCCCAGAACGGAGTGCGGCGAGAAACGCAGTTTAGTTTTACTTTCTCGGTAATAATGCACGGACTGCTTTTCCGCTCGATTGTAAATACGGTCTGACTGCTCTCCGGTGCGATTGTAAATACGATCGGAGCGTGCACGAAAAGCATGCCCGTTTTTCCCAGACGACTGAATCCGCTCGATCGCAATGAGACGGTTTATATTCTTCGCAGGCGCGATGGAAGCTTCTAAACACGTTACGGTGTGTCATAAACGCCACAGGAAAACAGAGGCGAATATGAAGAGAAAAATGTTCAAAGAGGCGAAGAGATTATCGGTATGATTCACAGAGAAGACTCAAGTCATTTAATGTGAAATCTATACGAATATATTGCATAAGCTGTTGAAGAATGAGACTTGAATTTTTTAAATCTTTACATGGCATTTTATATTACAATATAAATTAAGGTAAAGGTTTTAATAAACATGTTGTTATTCTTAATTTTGCTTATGATATAACTTAGGGAAATTTTATTATTTAATAAATTATTTAAAAAGTGTAAAAATTAATCAAATTTTCGGGGAAAAAATTATTATTTTTCGTTTTATTAGGTTTGTTGGAAATTGATTTTATGTAAGATATAAGCAAATTTGTCCTTCTTTCATTTTATTGTATAGTCGTGTTTGTTCTTTTTGTTTTTAATATATATATAATATATATATATACATGTAAAAAATGAATAAATTATAATCACAAATGAAAAAGAGATATGCTTCTTTAGCGTTAAATATGCATCATTGACGGATCTTTCCTCATATATCCAACTCGTGAGCCGCGGATTGCGAAGAGGATGAACGGAGGATATATTTTACAATGAAGTTATTTTGAAGTTCATTAGCAAGGATAGCATGCAATTCTGTCATATTAAACGCATACCAACTTTTTCTACATAAATAGGTTTATACTTAAAAAGATATGATTAATTAAGTTTACGTATCCAATTTACATAAAATTATTCTTGCAATATTTTTTAACGAAATATCAATCAAACATTTATATCGTACGAGAAGGAAATATTTTTTTTCTATTAGCATCATTTTCATATAAATGAAACGTAATATGTAAATGCATCACTATTTCAACATTAACTTATTTTTTGCGTTTTTACATCGTTAAAGGTGGCATATATATCGTCCTGCAAAATTTTAACTTAAAAAATATTCGTTTTGTAATTCACTGAAATTTATAACTCACTAAAATAATTGAAAATAAATCATCTATGCAAATTATGAGACAGTGGACTGCCATGGCAGAGATTTCATGCGTTATCCTGTAACAAGCTTATCTGTGAGGAAAGGTTTTGATATAGGGCTTAACTGTGTTTATAACCGCGTAAGTAGAAAAGTACTTTTGCACACGTTTTCACGGTGGTATATTTATCGCAATATTTCATGCAGTGCGGAATATCCTATTTTTATTTCACTTCGTAGACATTTCCACCTAAAAATGTCTGTTACCCAACTGTCTGTTACGCGCTTATATTCACGCTCGTTACATTCTATACATTTTCTTTCAAAAATTATTTAACAAGATCCATTAGCGACTTTTAAAAATAATCTTCCAAGCGTGAATCGATATATACGAGTATATGTATAATCCCACGTTATGTATGACAAGCTAAATAGAATATATTTGCTATATCATTTGTTTTTCTTTATTTATGGGCAATAATTCATCATTATTTAATTATTATTTATTTATTATTATTTATTTATTTTATTATTTAATCATTATTTATTTAACTTCGTAGACATTTCCACTTAAAAATGTCTGTTACCCAACTGTCTGTTACGCGCTTATATCCACGCTCGCTACATTCTATACATTTTCTTTTAAAAATTATTTAACAAAATCCATTAACGACTTTTAAAAATAATCTGCCAAGCGCGAATCGATATATATATATATAATCTCGCGTTACGTATGATAAGCTAAATAGAATATACTTGATTTGTCTTTCTTTATTTACGCGCAATAATGCATTATTATTTATTAATATAATTATTTATTTATTATTATTTATTTATTTTATTATTTAATCATTATTTATTTATTTATACCGCCTTCCTTGACGGTAAAAATAGATATCTAATAAAATTTGTTGTATAAAGTTTTTTAAGGTTGTCTCAACATTCACCGCCTAATCTATTATTATTACAAACATCAAAACTTATAAGACGAATCTGTGTGACTCCACTCTTCCTTTATAATATATCACATGAGATTGCCTTCCCAATAAAATGATTTTGCGTTCCTTTCTGTTGCCATTCGTCCTCAACAAACACGATCGTACATGAAGCGAAAACAGATTGGCCCGTCCGGCGTGGGGTCCGTCATTCTTTTCCACCTATTTTCTTTAAACCCACTGGTCCGCCCTCCATCCACCGGTCGCATTGTAATTCCGACTGAACAGTTTCGCTAGTGGCAAGTCCCTACGTGCTCGGCATGTCAAATTCGACACATAAAACTGGTGCAGAGACAGTAACCGTTCCGGGCTTAACGTATCGTCGGCACGTGTCACCGTCACCGTCCCCGTCGTCGTCGTCGTCGGCGGCATCGTTATAGTCGTCGTCTATCCTTGCATTACTATGCCATTACTATGGCGAACGCGCGGACGCTCGTAAATAATTGGTATCGGATGCTCATTAACTAAAACGCCCGCCGTTATCGGCGAGTCGGCTCACGAGCGCCGTAACGCGACAATAAAATGCGCACAGTGCAATATAGGATGTCCCGAAAGAGATAAATCAATCTTTCCCGAAGGTGGGGTAGTACTTTGAGTTGCGCACTTTCTTTCAATAATTAATTAAAAGAAATTAAATGGAGAAAATGTTGCAATATTTATACAATGCAAAAGATAAACAAATTTTGAAAAAATAAAATTCGAGAAGATGACACATTATATTTTTTTAATTTCGAGCAAACTTTAATAAAAATTTGAGATATTTAAAAGAAATAAGAGACAAATACACACACGTACATGTATAGAATTTTCTCATTTAATTCTTGAAGAGGGAAAATTGTTCACGTGTTTGTTTAGAAATTTGTAGTTGAGAAGAAACGCACGGTATCTAGGGCATCCTATATAAGGACGAATGGCACGTCTTATTAGCAGGCGGTGAGCGAAAAAAGAAATAACGCAAGACATTTATTAACAGTGACGCTTCGTCTTAAATGTTCAATGTTTGTGTTTTATCATGGTTCGTTATCGAGCGTTGCCTTTAATTAATCATTGTCGAGGAATTAATTTTAATTGAATTAACGAATACGACTATCGTTCGACACATTATAGATAGTTTGACATAAAAACATTTAATACATTATTAATATTTATTTAAAATAATAATACTACTAAATTGAAAGAATTAATGCAGCAGATTTGTAAATATGTAAAATCGTAAAATATTATATATTTTACATATAATTATATATTTTATATATTTTCCCCGTAATAAATTATGATATAAATACAAATTTTATGAACGTAATATGAAATAAAATATGATATAAAATATTAAATGCTTAATAAAAAAAGCAACTTTGAATTTACATTAATACAAATATCTCGATAAATTTTTTAATGCATGCAACATTCAATATATAAAAACAAAGTTATAAAAAATTACTGTTACAAAAAAAATCTATAAAACATTTTACGCTAAAATATATTTCTGTGAAAAATATTTATCAATTATTTTCATTCAAGCAGAAAGCTAAAAAAAATTTTCATTTCGCGAAAATTAAACATGAGAGATAAAACTTTTTAAAAAATAGAAATTTGTTGAACTCACAATTGAAATACAGTAATATTCCAGCGACGAAAACAAAGATGACGACCAAGAGCACCAGCAGGAGCAGCAGGATGGTCGGCCTGCACCAAGGACTTCTGATTACCTCGGTTTGCCTGCTATCTTTAGACCGTTTCTGATCGACTACCGCGGATTCACCGCTAACATTCACCACGACGCCTTTGTAAGTGTACTGAGGTGCTTTTTTATCCGCCAAAAAGCCGTGATCGTCCTCAGGATCCGAGTAGACCCCGTAGGCCTCGAAATTACTCTTTCTGTAACCGTTCATCTTCTCCGCACCGGTCTCTTCCTGATCCTGATGCTTTCTGGTGTATGCACCGGACGAGGACGAACCTAGTTCGCCGATCTTCAGGGTCTGATCGTAAGACTTATCCTGATATCTGGACGACGTGGTACTCTCGTACTTGGATCTCTCGTAGCTCTTCGAGGTCGTTAACCCATACTTGGAATCATAACCGCCCTTGCTGCCGCCCTCGTACGTCTGTTCGTCGTACTTGGACTCGTAGGTAGGCCTGGACTCATACGTCGGCTCATAGGACTTGGTGCTCTCGTACCTGGGCAAAGTGCCATACATCTTGCTGACCGAGTGATATTTACTCTCATATTGTCTGGCTGGTGGTTCTTGCTGTCCAGAGCAATTACCGAGATCGTAAGCAGAATCGTGAGTCTTCACGCCTGACTCATAGCCCTTGGAGGCAGCCGGCTCGTAGATCTTGCCCGGATGATGGTGATGATGATGATCCTTCTTAGGCTCCAGCTTTAGTGTTTCCTCGGCGTAACGCGACGCGTACTCATAATCGGTCAGATCGCGCGAGTATCGTCTGCTCGAGTCCGACAACTCCGGATAAGCCCTGCTGAGCTTCTGCGCGTCGTTTCGATCGTAAGGCGCGTCCAGATCCGACTCCTGATAAGTTCGCTGATCCACGCGAGGATCGGCGTATCTCAGCCCGTCCTCCGGATAGATTCTGTTGTCGAACTGCCTTTCGAGGTTCTCCCGATCGAAGCCGATGCCCGTCTTTCGATCGTAATTTCGGTATCCCCTCGACTGATCGTGATAGGCTCCCTCGTGATAGGCCGGCGCCGCCGAAGCAGACGATTGGGGATCTTGATAGGACTTGATCTCTTGGTACTCCAGGTAACGGGAGGACCTACGCTCGCTACCATAGTCCATCGAGCCCTCGACCACGTTAGGCAACTTGCTGCTCAAATTCTCACCGGTTCCGGACAGCGCCTGGCAGGTCTCCGCATGCTCGACCAGATTCGGCAGCCGCGACAACGAGCTACCTGCTGGCGTGTTCTCCGTCAGGTCGAGCTTGAGACCGTTGCTGCTGGTCCTGCGCATTTTCGGGGATTCGCATGATCGTTCCGGGACGACCGCGCTTACGATCGGTGGACGATAACCAGTCGCTGGCGACGACTAGTTGATGATTGAAGCGCGATTTAATCAGAGATGCATTTTTGTGTTAGTAGTGGATTCTTCGAGGAATTAGCGGGTGAGTACAAAGCCTGGAAGCAAAGAGAGAAAAGAAGAAGATTGTTAGTGCGGTTAGTAAGTAGATGGTAAGCAGCCTTAATGCTAAAGATATTTTTCAAAATTCATTAAGTTAGTAAATTAATCAAAAGTTTCCTTTATCGTTTTATTATTCTCCAGATTTTTAATTGCGATAATTATTGATTTAATGTATTGATAACAATTTGTCAATACATTAAGCGCTCGATCTCAATTGATTCATAACTTTCCCAGCACAGGAACGAATATTGAAACTAGAAAGTCAAGTGTAGAAAGTGTAGAAAAGTTAATTAGTATTCGATAGTTCTGTTCACTTCTTGATCTCTTACAATAGCAGATTTAGCGGATTAGGCAGGTATATCTATACATGGTTCGTTATCGATACGTGTATCTCTCTCTCTCGATACGGCATTCAGGGCAGCAATATTCTGTAAGCGCTTCTCCAGACTGCGATTACCCTCCGCATGCTCGGTAGCTCACGAATGGCCGCTACAGCCAATGATGACGATAATACTCGATCGTGCGTGACCGAAATGCGGCTGCATCGCAGTCAATGATAATGCGGTCGAATACATCGGTCGCGGAGTTTCGCAGAAAATTGAAGTTAAACGCAATGAATAAACAATGGCAGCGTTATAGGCAAACAATTTTTTTTATTTTATAATTTTCTAGCCGATTCGATTAAGCGCGATCTACTTCTCTCCTCGCGATTTCATCTTTCTTTTCCACCTTCCGAGAAATCGCGCTCCCGTTTGTCGAGTGATAAATTCTACGTTATATCTGCGACATTTCCTCGAGGACATTTAATATTAATGCTAAAATAATAATATGCCGATCGTGTACACGCGGTAGAGAGTCACGCAACTTTTATTACATTATTATGCGTGTTTCAGATGACTTCGTTCAAGTAAATTGCATCTATGCTAATGCTTTCATTATAATCTCATAAACTTTTCTGCTTTATTTTTCAAATAACATGCATGTTATTTTTCATAATTGCAGACAAGAAAAAAAATACAGAAGAGGGAGAGAAAGAGGAGAGAGGGAGAGATTCTCTTATTATGATATATTACACATTTTTAATATAAGTTTATGTCATTTTCTAGAACTGGCACGATTGATGTAAATCAATTGTTTAAAAAATATCTCTATTTCTCGGAATAATATATTTTGAGTCGTCTGATTTAACAAAGTCTGCGATCAATAGAATTTTGATTTTAATTCGTTGAATAGACCAGTATATACAGCGCTGTCAAATTGACGCTGGATCGATAAATCACATTATTGAGCCACGTCTCTTTCGATTACAGTCAGTATATAGTTCGCCCAGCTCTGTTCTCATTGTCAGTCGACGAGGCGTATTCACGATTGAACGCCCACGACGGATCGATCGATAATTAATTAAACGCGATTGCGGAGGAACGACAAACGTCGCGTTTCCGGAAGTTTCTACCGGATGTACCGACAAGAACACCACTGTCTCCCGTCTCCCGTATTTGTGGACTTCTTCGAGGGTTGTTTCGAAGGCAAACCTACGCCGACTGCGAGACGACGTTTGCCTTACATTGTCATATCACATCCGAAACGATTGATCTCGTTAATCCTGAACGAATGAGACGACGTAACTTTAGTCGAGTAAAGTTTTAATCGTCCGCCGACGCTGATTTACTGCGAGCGCTCTGTGAAATTTACGAGAATGAAGAATTTATAGTTGATAAAAGATACGACAAGTTTGGAGACGTAATTTATACTTGTACCGTGATGCAGGGACGCTCACAAATTGTCGCTTATTCGATTCTCTTGGAGATATTAAAATAAATTTTGCTAAAATCCTTTAATCCAATTTGCATCAAAACAAAGGGAATTATTTGATATTGCTATGTGTTATAATCGCATCATTTGTTGATAATTTTGATTAAATGAATTACCGTGTCGAAACGAGAATATTTAAACGCTGATATCGAGTTGATATCGAACTGATAGGAGCAATATCTTCGGCGATCAATCGATAGTTCTCGCCTCACGAGCCAATGCTGTTCGTCATAAAATTTTCTCTAGCGACTAAACTGGAGTAATAAGTATGACAAGGGCTCAAAGGAGATTGCTGTTCCGCATGCAAATATGATTAGTTCCGGCGCGTAACTTCATTTGCGTATATTAAAAGCGCGGATAGCTCACTTTATGCAAACGACGACGGGAAGGGCGTCCAGAATGAAGGGGGCGGGAGCGAGCTGTTGAGGGGGACGAAAAGAGTGGAAAAAAAAAATGTTTCGCGAAGAATTATAAAGTGCGACGAGCGAGAGGAGAAGCCGTTGGAAAAATAAGCGACCGGGGGCGCAGAATAAGCGAGAGGAGCGATGGCGGTCCTTCTCTGGAAATCCTGATTGCCGGTCGTTAAATGTCCCCGGTCGCGCGGCGGCGCCTCGCACTTAAAAGTAACGTAACTTTCTAAAAGAATGGTAATTGCGTGTCGCGTGCCTAGCGTTACAAAAATGCATCGGGCAGATTCCTTGAGCGGAAAAAGAAACGAATATTAGCTCGGCAAACGTATCTCTAATAGTTTGTCTCTGTCATGTCGGACGTTCATTTATCAAACATTCGTGGCCCCCACGACAGAAATAAAATATACCAGACACACCGGGTATACTTTTTTAAGCCAATGCTAGAAATCTCCGGAATCCTATTTATGCCCATCTTTCTCCGGCAATTCAAAATCCGACGGAATATGTCTCTTGATTGTTGTTCGTCACGATGAAGGCAGTTAAGATTTTAATAAGAAATTATGATATAATTAGGCAACATATTTTACTTGTATTTTGTTACTTTCAATAGTTGTAATGTTTTCTTCGCGTGACGTTTACAATAATTTTTTAGAATGTCTTTTTTAACAAGGATATTTCGAATCTCTTTCCACCTGCTCTCTCCGTTTTTCTCTTTTCTGCATCACTCGAATGAAACTCGGTTTTCGTAACCGCGAACAGTCGTATTCGCATTTGACTCGCCAGTCCAGCGACAACGTAATATTCGGAGAGAGTGTAGAATTAATCCGCATCTCGCTTTTTGTCCTCCGCAGTTGTTGTCGCACGAGGAACGTTTCCTCTGGCGTTTCGCATCGAATGACAGCGATTATTGTCGCAGGCAAACGCCTAGCTACGGCCGAAAACAATTCGAGCTGCCGGATTAGCAAACGCGAGTCCGTGCACTCTCTCTCTCTCTCCCCTTGGTCTCACCACCGCTCTATATATCCGTGTTCAAACTACCCGAAATACCGCCCGCTCGATCGCCATATGAAACTATTTTGCTTAATGAAGCGCCGTTAAAACTTTCCCCGATAATACCCGGGACTCGACTTGCCTTCCCGTGATTCCCGACTTCGTCGTGCGACCATTCGGACGCCGCCGGAAGATATTCCGAAATTGTGCACGACATATCCCGCCGACTAATAATTCTATCTCGGTATGCACGGCCATTCGATGGCGGGGAGCCGGATAACTAGGGCAACTCTATATGAGATATGTAATACGCGAGACGTATGGGATATCATTCCCGATTAGTTGGAATCGTTGCATCAAACAATCGCTTGCTTGTAGAATTTCAAATGAAGGATAACATTAAGATAAATGTCAGTAGGATAAATATGCGTACATGTCTTGCATATAGCATATCAATTAAAAAAAAACGATAGTTTTATAGATCAAACCTGAGAGGCTTATTATACTTGGCAACCATTTTTATTAAAATTGCAAATAAAGAATGATATCGGCAACTGAATAAATGGGGAAAATATCGTGCAAAATATATATATATATATATATATATATATATATATATATATACATACGTACATCGAATTCGTTATTTTTCAAAAACTCACTATCTCCAGCGCTGTTATCGAACGTCACTATAGATAGATGTCGAATAGAGATAGCGAGTTTTACAATGAAAAACCACACGTTATACCCAAAACGATATTGTCGCACGAGGACTTTACGCTCGGAAAATTTTCGATCTAGACATACCGATCGCGTCGATTCACGCACCAGAAGAATCTCGCGATTTCCATCGTCTCACGAAAAAAATTTCACCCTCGCGTAAATGCTCACACAATTAAATAGCTCGGACTTGGTCGGTTATCGTAACAAAGTATAAACAAAATTAATATCAAGTCGCAGTTAACGAGGCTTAAGAGATACTTCGATGTTTTACGAAGAAGAAACACGAGGAGATGGAGAAGGTATCGAGGAATATTTGAAAGAAACAAATTAAATTACCTGGGCTCTGCTTAACTTTACTCACTTCAATTTCCTTGTATACACAGGGTATCCGCAATTTCACAGAAGTCATAGGCGCGCTTTGATGAATTCGGAATGAATTTTTCTGTGGCGAAAGTTTCGACGTTGCAACTTTCTGACTTTCGACTTTAAATGTTTTAATAATCAATAGACATAAGATTCTTTTTTATTATGTTATAGTAAATTTTCTTTGAAATTACAAATGTAATAAATTAATATCTTACGATCTATAACATAATAAATAATATTACATCATATCAACAATTATATTGTATTATTAAGGAGAAAAAAAATTATTTTGCTTTGAACTATAATAATTGCAGTCATAGAAAAAATTCAACTTTAAAGATTGTTTTCCATATTTTGCTCTGCAAATCTCCATAAAATATTGTTCTTTTTGCAATAAATATTTAAAAACTATTCGAAACTGTGTTTAATGGAATACATTCAGTGACAACAATCTAGTCCGTACGCAAGCATAGATAATCGAGAACGAAATTGCGTTTTGTAAAGTCTCGATGAAAAAATAAATAAATAAAGTGTGTCCTGTGAAAATATTTGTATAGTCGGGGAAGCGAATATTTGATTCCCACGCGACCGAATAACTCGCCTCGAATAATTCCGTTTGATTCGCGGTAGTTTTTACGCGCGTGCTGGGATCGAAACTGGATTCGTATCAGCGATTTGCTCGCGAAAAGAC